GGCTCGCACCCTGTTTTTCTCAGGGAAAATTCTTGGTCTCAGAATTGGGTTGTTGGCCCCCAGCTTACAACAACAGCAACAACGACAATCAGTTTAAGACTGGTCGCTCGTACTGGCACGCGTGTTTTGCATTCTGTATACCCCAACCCTCGATATCCGCCCACTTCGTCTTCGATCGCGCCCCCTTTCGGGGGGAACATCTTCCCTTTCGGCCACTGACTGAAGTGCGAGGAACTCTCGAGCGAGGGCGCCGTTCCTGAGTTCGGGGGCCGCTCTGGCCAGGCCATGGGTTCGAACGGGAGCCCTTGTTGCCGTGTCTGGGCCCCCACCAACTTGCCCGAACCACGAGAACATCTCAAGCGAGAGCGCCACTGTTGAGTTCGGGGGCCTCTCTGGCAAGGGCCTCTGCGAATACATCTTGAGGAAATATCGAACGAGAGCCCTTGTCGTCGTAGTTGGGCCTCCACCAATTTGACTGAAGCACGAGACAGTCTCGAGCGAGAGCGCCTGTCCTGAGTTCGGGGGCATCTCTGGCCAGGGGCTCTCGGAGAAAATTGTAAAGAAGTATCGAGCGGGAGCCATTGTCGTCGTAGGCGGGCCTCCCAGGGCACACTTATACACTCAAGCCAACGCTCGCACGGGAGCCTCGTTTTCGAAGAAAATGTAGCCGGCGTCGAAGCGAGAGCGCGCGGAACCAATTTCCGGAGACCAACACGAACTTCCTCGAGAAATGAATATCCGACAACGACAACGACAACGACGACAATGGCTCCCGCCTGATACGTCCTCACAATATGTTCCCAGATCGCGCTCTCGCGCGAGACCTCTTTACAATGTATGCAGGAATCGCGCTCTCGCGTGGGACTTCCTCGCAACGTATTCAAACGCCGCGCTTCCGACACCAAGGAATCACGCTCTCGCCTGAGCCGCTCTCACGACTTACTTGGGAATCGTGCTATCGCTCGAGAGTTCATCGCGATTCATGCAGGACGCACGCTTCAGCAACACGCCTGCTCGACCTGGCCGCCTGGGCCCGCATTCCCGACCCGCCCGTTAGGGTCCACACGCCCGATCTGCCCGTCTGGTTCTGCCACGTGCCTTCTGCTCCTAGCCCCCCTTCTGCTACTCTCCCTCGTGCTCCATCCTCCTCATTCCCCCTTGTCCCTTCCTCCCATCCGTCCTCTCTTCCCCTGCCTCAGGGGCTGCACGAAATACACGCTGCGAGTAAGACAGATATATACACCCAAGGGGGGAACGGTCGAATCAGAAGAGGCCGGGTATCGAGGGTTTGGGATATACGTGTTGAATGGCACGCGCGCAGATAAGAGCGAACCGCCTTATAATGCTTATTGTTGTTGGTGGTGGTTGCTGTTGGTGGTGTTGTTGCTGTTGTTGTTGATGGTGTGGTTGGTGGTGTTGGTGCTACTATTGTTGGTGTTGCTGTTGTGCGTGTTGTGTCTGTTGTTGTTTGTGGTATTGGTGTTATTGGTGGTGGTGTTGCTGTTAGTGGTGCTCGTGTTGCTGCTATTGCTGATGTTGTTGGTGGTGTTGCTGTTGTTGTTGGTGTTGTTGTTAGTGGTGTTGCTGATGTTGGTGTTGTTGTTGGTGGTGTTGGTGTTGTCATTGCTGTTGTCATTGTTGGTGGTGCTGCTGCTGGTGTTGTTGCTATCCCTGTTGCTGTTGTTGTTGCTGCTGTTGTTAGTGATGGCGTTGTTGGTGTTGGTGTTGGTGTTGGTGTTATGTTTGTGTGTGGTGTTGTTGATCTTGTTGTTGTCGTTGGTATTGTTATTATTGTTGTTGTTGCTGATGTTGTTGTTGATGCTGTTATTATTGTTGTTGTTGTTTGCTGTTGTCGTCGTCCCCCCCGCGAATCGGCCCGCGACCCACCCGCGACCCACTGGCAACCCACACGCGACCTACCCGCGACCCATCCGCGACTCACCCCGCGACCCGCCCGAGACCCACTCGCGAATCACCCGCGACCCACCCGTGACCCACCCGCGACCCACCCGCGACCCACCCGCGACCCAGGCCGCGACCCACCCGCGACCCACCCGCGACCCACCCCGCGGCCCACCACCATTGCTTTAACGAAAAATCGGCGCCTGCGGCGGGCTCGTTGTATAACTTGTGGGAATTAAGCGCCTGCGGCGGGCTTCTTCAGAGCCTCACAGACTGCCGACGTCCCCGCTGCCCCCTCACTCTGATCCGCGACTGCGCGGTGCTACGCGGGGCGATTTCGAAAATCCTGAACCCAAAAACGTTTTCATCTTGGCGGCGCATGTTTTACTTCCGCCGCCTTCCGCCGAGCTTCCGCCAGCGGAGGCTGCCTCGTTTTACTTCTGCCGACCTTCCACCGCCATTCCGCCGCCTGTCGCCGCGGAAGAGATGACAGCCCCTTCGACTCGCGAAGGCAAGGCCCTTCTTGGAACGCCCCACGTACATGTCAGCCGGCATGTCCGCTGCAGACGACAACGAAGTTGCCGCGACCCAGACCCAGATCTCTGGCGACAGGAATCTGCAATCCTGGTGTCTTCACTCGATCTCGGTCCCTGGGGCCGCGCTGGGGCCGCGGGACCATCCGCAGTGGATCCGGGAGGAACAGATAAGTACACCCGGGCAGCGCTGGGGAGCTCTGGGGCCGCGAACTGAAGAACATCACATCGGCGGCTGTCAGTGAAAGGGGCCCTGAGGCACACACACAAATAAAGACAAACAAATCCCGAGATTCCCCATACGTTCCCATAGCTTCTCTCCCCCATCAGCGGCATCGCCGTTGTCACTACTCTTCCGCCAGTGCAGCTACTCTGCCCAGCCGCCGACGCAAGAAAAAAACATTTTTTCATGGGGATCGACGATTAACTGTGTCTGTGGGTGCTTTCCCCTCCAAGGTCAGGGAATCCAGAGGCAGGCTCACGGCCGGCTCGACTGATGGCCCGTTGTGCGACGCGATGGGCCATCGGCACCACCCTCGCGACGCCGGGGAACGTGCCAGGCTCTGGGGCTTGAGATGGGATTCCTTCGCCAGCCCCCCTGCCCTTCGTGACTTCCTCATCGTCCTCCTCTTCCCCCTCCCCCTCCTCCCCCTCCTCCCCCTCCTCCCCCTCCTCCTCCTCCTCCTCCTCCTCCTCCTCCTCCTCCTCCTCCTCCTCCTCCTCCTCCTCCTCCCAACCCCCATTTTCCGCATTATCTTCCCATTGCTCCTGCGCGTCGCCGCTTCAAAAGCTCAAAGAGGGCTCTCGGCTGAGACGATAGGTCACAAGCGCCGCCGCGACCCACTCCAAGAAGGCTCAGACCTATCGATGCCTCACGGGGGGGCCCGTCCAGACACAGGAAGGAAGCGCGGGACAGCACGAAACACCTGCTTGCTCCCATGATACTTATCACTAGGGCCGTGGGCGTTTGTCTTGGGCTTCCACTTCTACATCACCTTTGCTCAGTGCGTTGCGGCTGCAGCCCAGCCACAGGCTATGCATTGCAAGCGGATGGCGTGTCGCTCCGCTACGCGGGGCGGGAGGCTGGGACTAGCTCGGAGCGCTGACGCCTGGAAATGGGGAGGTGGACCGTGTGTCGCGCCGAAGCGTGGTGGGTCAGAACTGGCGGAACGACACGTTGAGCCAAAGCTCCTGAGACCAAGGTGCTGGGAGGCCGCTTGGATAGACAATGATGAGGTCAAGATGCGTCAAGGCGTCCTGATGGTGGACCTGGTGCGGCCCAATACGGTGGGGGTTTGGGACACGGAACCATTCGATAAGGAATCCAGGCTCTGGAATCCCGTGGAACTCCAATAGTTGATCGGCCATGAATATTACTGCCGCCCTCATCAGGTAAGGAATCCTCCAGGGTCTGCAGCCTGCTGGATACAATCCTCAACGAACGCCCCCACCGTATTTTTCATTTGGCGGGAGGAGCATGGGCAGACTAAACGCAAGATGACTAGGGCAGGTGAAGAGCAAGATCGGAGTCAGAGGGGCTGATATCGAAGCGAAACAGAGCCGCCCGGCTGGAACATGTGCTTCGGCTTCTGCTCGTGTCGCGCGTGACGTGCGGGCGAGGCAAAGCTGCGCGAGGGCGAGGGAGACGCTGGCCTTGCTAGGGTCAGGAGATATGAACTTGTTGCGCCACTGCGAAGGCCCGAGCCCGAGCCTCGGCGGCGCAGAGGTGGGGCCCTGCGGGGCGGGGCTCGAAGACCGAGGGGCCTCAGGCAGTGTCACAGGCGATGTTTCTCCCCCCCTCCTCCACCCCTCCCTCCTCCTCCTCCTCCTCCTCCTCCTCCTCCTCCTCCTCCTCCTCCTCCTCCTCCTCCTCCTCCTCCTCCTCCTCCTCCTCCTCCTCCTCCGCCTAGGTGCTCCTCCTCCGCCTAGGTGCTCCCGCGGTTGTCCCGTGATTGCCCCGTGGCTGTCCCCTGCTCGCACCTCGGCAGGGGGCGTCCTCCGACCTGGGCCCCTGCGCTCGCTGATCCGCCCCCCGCCGCCCGCGGCCGGGGCACGGAGGCTGGACAAGTTCTCGCGAAAAGGAGGAGGAGAAGGAGGAGAAGGAAGAGGAGGAGGAGGAGGGGCAAGGACAAGGAGGAGGAGGAAGAGGAGGAAGGGGGGCAGGGGAAGGAGGGAGGAGGGAGGGAGGGGGGGGAAGGGGGGGAGGGGCACAGCGATGTCTGGGGGGAGGTGGGGCACGAAAAGAAGGGCGTTGAAATGAGACGAGGAGGAGGAGGAGGAGGAGGAGGAGGAGACGGAAACGGAGGAGGAGGAGGAGGAAGAGGAGGAGGAGGAGGAGACGGCAGAGGAGAGGGAGGACGGGAGGAGGAGGAGGAGGAGGAGCCCAGCGTAGGGAGCGAGTCGATTCGACACACCTTGAATCGAACAGGGGTCCGCAACTCTCAGCGAGCGTGAAGGCGACAGCCCCACGAATGGGCGTCATACCAGGGAGCCTGGCGCCGACCACCAGAGAAAGGACGAACGGCGAGAGGACCCAGAAGCCGAGGGCGAGCGAGTCCAGCCACCTCACTGCGACCAACGCCCGTCCGAACGCCAATCGCCATCGTCGTCGCAGGCGAAGAAGCCCACTGGCGGGGAACCACTGCAGAAGCACGGCATGATGTCGCCACTGATGAAGATCTCCGAGCCTCCGCAGACAGGGTACAACTCAGCACCACCACGGCGAAGGCGAGCTGGCCGCACGTGAGAATCGTCATCCCGACCGCAGGGCGCGGCGCCACGCGAGGCGGCGGCCGACAGAGACGGCGTGCACGACCGCGGCGAAGGCGGACACGAAGCAAACGGAGACGCAGAAGCAGCACACGATGCAGCCACAACGTCGCGGACGGCGTCGACGCTCTGCATCACCGCATTAATGGACGACCTCACGATGCTCGTCACGCTCTTCGTCACGATGCTCTCGACATCACTGCGGCACACACCCCGAAAGCTCGTGAACATGGCCTTCACCACGGCGTGCAGGTCTTCGACGGCGGTGTCGCAGTGCTTGCAGGGATCGGAGGCGTCCCCGCACCCGCGATGAGCAGGACTGTCGTGCACACGTGCCTCGAGCTCGCCACGCAGCTGTGCGATGGTGTCGTTCTGCGCCGCCAGCAGACACAGCGCGAACTCGAGCTGGGCAGTCAACGCCTCCAGGTCACCGCGCGAGGCAGTGGGCCGAGCCACGGCAGGAGCCGCAGCCGCAGCGGGCACGAATGACGCCGCCTCGGCGCGCAGCGAGGCAGGCGGCACGACCGCAACCAGGGAACGAGAAACGACCGCGGGTAGCTTGGCGGAAGCCTGAGCCTAGGGGTCCGCCCCAGCAGCGAGCCAAGGGGTCAGGACGGGACGGCACGCCACACGAGGCGGCGAGAGCAGACGCGGCAGCTTTCTTCCCGACATTGTGCTTCGCAGCGTTGGCGGCCTTGTGGATATTCTGCGCCTTGTCGTACTCGCTCTTGCCGATATTCGCCCGCACCGCATACGAGGCAAGGCGTGCAGCATGATGAGGTGGAGCAGCTCCCTTAGAGTCGTGGGCAGCGTGAAGCTCCATGGACTGCGTCACTTTGCGGGCATCCTCCAGCATGCCGCAGGGGACGTTCAGCCATCGACGCCCACGACCAGGACGAGGAACAAGGAAGCCACGCTCGGCGGCTCGGCGGCGCCTGGCCTTCAGCTTCGCGGGCGAGTGCCGATGGACCATGGCCAGGAGGGAGGCGAACAAGAAGAGGACCGCACGTGGCAGTTCGCAACCAAGACTCAGACAGAAAGCAGCCCGCCGCCAGCCACAACGCACCAGGAAGCCATGCCACGCCGGATTGAGCCACTGGGGGTTCGCTCGCTGGTGAGCGGCTTGAGCCAAGATGGCTACGGAGGAGACGGAGGAGGAGGAGGAGGAGGAGGAGGAGCAGGAGGAGCAAGGGGGAGGAGGAGGAGGAGGAGGAGGAGGAGGAGGAGGAGGAGGAGGAGGAGGAGAAGCTCCTCCCCGCCCAGCTGCCACGTGCCGGCGGGTTGCCCCTACCCCGGATCGGCACCGCGGAGCGGTACCGCGCGATCTCGGAGAAGGGCAGCTGATCGGGCCCCATGGATCGGCGGCGAGGCCGGGGGGGAAGTGAGAAGGGGCGTCGGGGCCTCAACTCCGAAGAGGAAGGGTACCCATACCTCTGCCCTTCGGCCGTTTTCCCCGTTTCGGGCCTCCTGGGCCTCCGTCGTCGCCGCCACCGTCGGATTCCCCTCGAAATCCAGGTCAGGACGCACCCCGGGAGAGGTCCTGGGAGTGGCGGTGTCGGTGCCTTTTGGTGTCCCCAGAGAAGGGGCGGGCCTTCTCACAAGGCTCGAAGTCCCCCGGCCGTCTGCAAAGTGTCCTCAGCCTGCCCCAAAGGCAGAGACAACTTCTCAGAAGGCTCGGGAGCCACCTGGCCTTCCGAGAAGTGTTCTCGAAGCCTTCCCCGCAGACGCAGAGAACTGCTCAGGAGGCGCGAGGGCTTCTGAGAAGTCCCGCCGCCTTCTGCGAAGGCCTCCTCCTTCTCACTTCCCCCCCTCGCTCGCCGCCGAATGGAGTTGGCGATCATGAACGTGAAGTTCAGCGCCGGGTTGACGCCCGAGAAGGCCTCCACTCGGCGGGGAGGGCCAGAGGGCGGGGCAGGGCTCGAGCTGAAGAGTGCTGTTCGGTCTCGTCTTCCCTCGTTCTGTCTTCGTCCTGCCTTTTGCTGCGGGGCGGCATCAAAACGAACAGGACAGGGTAGGGCTCTCTCGAGCTGACGAGTGCTGTTCGCTCTCGTGCCGTTCTCGCCTTCCCTCGTCCTTGCCTTCGCTCTTGCCTTTTGCTGCGATGCGCTCAAAACGACAACGGTCCACGAGATCGCCGAAACACTTCGTAGCTCGAGCCCTGGAGTAGGATTAGGTCGAGCATGTCCTCCTACAGGGGGATTTCGGACGAATAAATTAAAAACAATCAACAAGTATTCAGAAATAGAATCAAATGCTACAAAAATCGCCCCCTGGCTATTTTTTGACTATTTTTGAAAATCCCTCCTGCAGAGGGACAGGCCCGACGTAAGGGCAGGATGCCACAGGGCAGAGAGAAGCAGCTCACGTGGCTGAGGCCTTCGTGGCGCCTCCTGGCGCCCGCGGGCGCCCACGCACACTGAGGAGTGGGCCCGGCGGCGGGGCGAAAGCCAGCTGCGTGCAGCAGGATGTCGTACACCCCGACCCCAAACGTTCCATGCCCAGCCCCCCGACGTCGGCATTTCTCAATTTGTATGTTTATGTAATTGTTCGTTCCCCTATTCTTGACAATGTCGACCCCCAGAGGTCTGGACCCATTCCCCGGGCCCGGTTTCTCATCCTGAGTCGTTTTTGGACGGCCCCAATGCCCAGCAAGGGCCCCCGTGATGCCGAAGATAGCGAATAATCTCCCGTCGTGATATTTTCATATCGCGAGGGGGCTGCATATCCTCTAGTGGCAACTAATGGGAGCTTTCTATACCATCTTGTCGGTTCTTGCGAATCGGCGCGGATCGACGCTAGGTCGACGCCAAATCGACGCTAGATCGACGCGAGTCGTCGCTAACAGACGCTAAATCGGCATTGACTCACGGACTCCCAGACGCTAATCGACGCTAGTCGACTCTAAAGACGGAATTAAGAGGGTAAACACATTGGTCGGAAGAAGTAGGTAAAAACGTAAAGTAGGAAGGCGGATAAAGTAGATTGGGTCCAGTCCAGGCCCTCTCAGAGAATAACAAGCACAGCAAAAAATCAAATCGACTCCTGAAGTAGGCAGGCGCTTGACGCACATTGGGACCTGGGATCCAAAACTACCTACTTTCAACGACCGGCGTGCACCAGGCTCCCATGTGCGAGGCGGGGATTTATCCGTATCCACCGCCTGGGAGCCGACGTCCTGGTGCCCCAGCGGGCGGTGGATATGGAGATATATTTCGGCCCCCGGGGGGCCCGAATATGTCCATACCCACCGCCTGCCAGGCTCCGAAAACTGACCCTCCAGGCGGTGGTCATGTATAAATTCCCGCTTCGGACCATGATCTGCGACCGAAGCATCCTGCCCTTTCGTCCGGCCCGATCCGCGGGCCCTCCTCCTCCTCCTCCTCCTCCTCCTCCTCCTCCTCCTCCTCCTCCTCCTCCTCCTCCTCCTCTCGTCCGGCCCGATCCGCGGGCGACGAGCACAGCCGCGCCGCCCATGACGCCCCGGTGTGCGTCCCAGCGCCCCCCGGTGGTGGCGGGAGAAGCTCCGCTCCGGGGCTGTAGCCGGCACCAGGAGGCGCAGAGATCGGGGGCGCCGAGAGGGCAGGAGTGGTTCGGGGAGGGGTCGCGGACCCCTCCTCGCCGAGCGGAGCTTTGAAGCCCAGCCCCGGCCAGGAATGCCGTTTCCCTTGCGACCAGGGGGCGCTCTGCGACCTGGGTCGGCGCTGCTGCGTCGACTCCGGGTCGACCAGTCCTTCCCGGAGCCAGACCCCCCTCCTTTTTCGGCTTCGCTCCAGGGCGCGGCCTCATCGCACAGTTTGGGAGGACCTCGCAGGTCTTCAGAAGACTTCGGAGGTCGCCTGGGATCGCAGCCTCGTCGCCGAGGCTCGGCCCCCGCTGGCCGCGCGATGCCCGGGCGCCGTCTGCGCGGGGCCTCCGCGCAGACAGCGCCTGGCATCGACCGGGTCGCGGCCGAGGCGTCCAGGCAGCGAGGCCGTCGAGAGGTTCGGAGGCAGCTCGCGCGAGCCTCCCTTTGCCGTTGAAAGGGCCCCAGGACACACAAATAAATACACACAAATATCAGGATTCCCAATATGTTCCTATATTTTGGGGGTTTTGTCTTCCCCCCACTTCCCATATTTTCCTATCTTTTCCTGGGATTCGTCGATTAATTGAGTCTGCATGTTTTTTCCCCTACTGAACCATCTTGTCCGCTGTTGCGAATCGACGCTAGTTGGCGCTAAATCGACGCTGATCGACGCTGAATCGGCGCTAATCGACGCCAGCCGACGCTAAGCCGGCGCTGTCTCACCGACTCCACACGCGAATCGACGCTCATCGACGCGAAAGACGGAAGCAGGAGGGTAATTCTACCAGGGCGTTATAGGAGGGCTCCAGGCCGCGAGGCCGTCGAGATGGGGCATAAGGGCGCGGCCGACCCCAAACCGCCTCACGTTGTGACGAAAATCACGACGGGAGGTGTTCCGCTACTCTCGGCCTCCGGGGGCCCTTCCCTGGGCCGCGGGAGCGTCTCGGAAGACGGCTGGGGAGGAGAAGCTGGCCCCGGGGGAAGGGGTCCAGACCTACCTCTGGGGGTCGACGGCCTAAAAATTCAAGCGGCACGCGTGCCCTGGCTCTTGCGCAAACGAGCTGGGGGAGGGCAGCGAGGGGGGGGGAGGGGGGCCCGGGGCCAGGACCAAGGGGGAGAACGAACCACGAGCAAATATAAGGAGGTCCGAGCTCTAGAGCACAGCTGTGCAAGAGAATCAACCACGACGTCGGGGGTCTGGGTGGGGTCGCGGCCGGGGGGTCCAGGCCGCGAGGCCGTGGAGATGGACGTGCCCCCAGCCCCGTGTGGCCTCCAGCATCTCCAGGAAGTACTGGCCCGGGAGGCGGCCCCAGAAGCGCGAGCGCAGCACGAGGGCCTCGCCCATGAGGCCGCCGGGCAGGTGTGCCCGCCAGGTCACGTTGCTCGGGATGTAGCTGGCGGTGCGGAACACCTGGGGGGAACAGAAGATACCGACTGCCGCTACTCCCTGACCTCTCCTGGGGTGCGCCCTGGCCAGAAGTTCGAAGCGAGTCCGGCCGTGGCGACGAGGGCCTCCCGGGAGGCCCACCAGGGGGAAGGCGAGGCAAGGGTAGCGGCATCGTGTCAGTGCATTTCCCTTCTCTGAACACCACTGGGAGCTGGACGCCCGTCTGATACAGGCACTGCATCGCCACGAAGGCGTTGCAGGCGAAGATGGCGCGGTGCG